AGTTACTTGTAAAAATCGTAGGATTGCATGAGTTTGGCCACCTACTGTATTTATATAACGTTTTAAATAATAAGATAAATGTGCGTTAGAAAGTCACAAAAAACGGCGACAGCAGACCAAACCGACCTGCTGTTGAGAGAAACCCATTTCCATAAGCGCGGTCACAGCACTGAGGTCCGCAGTCACCGTAGAGCCTGAGCTACTGGATTCCATGGCGGTTGGGGGTGGATCATTGAAATCAGGATCGTCCATATGTTCCATTACCCAACCCATAGCTGCCTCTACGCCTGAATTTGCTGTCACTACACAGGCTCGAACACATGCGTTCCGCGAGAAGCCCATTTCCATAAGCTGGCTCACAATGGCCTCATCAGCAGTCACCTTGGCGGGTGCAGCAGCCTCTAGAAAAAATAAACAGGAAGAGTTGTAGAAGGATACCGTTAACAGTGGTCGTTCGTTCATCGATCTCTCTCCCTATATTTTAATAAGCGAACTCCACGGTGAACTCGGGTGGGGTAAACCAAAGGAGACTGCAATATAGTCTGCCGAAGGGAAGGAAAAATGTAATCAGAATATTTAAAGCATTGGTAACATCTGGTGAAAAAATCCGGAACGCGTAATTTCTTAGACATTCGTCAGACGTTTTTGCTTTCATTGGAAATAGTTTACTTTACGGGATTCACCCAATCCTATGTAGACTGTCAGATATCATGTCGCTATAATCACATGCTCGCCCTCTCAATCTTCCGTCTTCTTGGCACTATCTTTAAACCAGGCCTAGGTGGGGGGAGTGGGACATAGAGTGAGGTAGATGCTGCGCAAGTCACCGTCTCTGCACCACCCTCCTGCGGAGCACACGATGGACTTCATCGAAAGCAATGCTCGAAATGTCGTAATCGCATACCGCTAATTTATTGCACATCTTTGAGTTTCTAGCGTTGAGCTCGGCATCAGATGGCTTACAGGTTCGGACAGTGGACTGGTGCCAGGGATTCGAGAATGGAAGTAAGGGTTTGAACCCTTTTTCTGAAGTCTAGCTTTCCTTGGTGCCTGTGAACTCCTGGGTTTACGTTTACATTTAAAGAATAGACGATCAAGTAATTAACAAATGTGTATACGTCAGTTGACCCAATTGTGAA